TATACCATATATATACATATATAATATGTCACACTATGGGATATCTGCCTGAACTATACTACAACGTAGATCATGTGCGCCGGGTATGTGTTTCCTGACGATTATTTGGATATGGGAAGTAGATATTATGACCTCATTTGAAACAAATTGGAATTGTAAATGAACTGAACCTTTCTTTTTCCAATTGATAATATTTGCGCGTGGGCAAGTCATAGTCCTCTGCGAATGCGTTGTGTGGCGATTGGGTTTGACTTCATCCGTCATCTGCCTCAATTCATCCGCTGTTCTAGTGCTATAGTATTAGTGTGGTTGTAGATACCGTTGCTATGTTGTGCCTACCTACCACACCCCTACCTTCTCTGTAAACGTAGTACTTTTTTAATTCAAAGTGTATGTTAAAGCCACGCGAATATCAGGCTGTAGTAGTCGTATGCATTAGAATTTATTAGAACCTTATGCCTACCTATCATTGCCCTACCTTTCTTATATCTTACCATTCTTCTACTAGGAATGGATTGAGGGCAAGTGGTTGGTCCCTGCTTCTGAGACATTCCATGTGCCCACGCGATCATTTTACGCGCGCGAGAGACTCATCTGCAAACGCGGCGAAGCAAATCCAATGGGCGCAATCATTGGCAGATGTGCTGTACTGCCGATGAGAGACTATGTCAAAGGTACATTGATATGGAGCAATGTTGTATATATATATATATATATATATTATTGTGTGTTTAGGTATACAAGCCGTATTTGTTAACGGTTATTCAAAAGAAATTGCTCATCTATATCCTCGTCCATGGGTATTCATGTTTAGTTATTTTACATATATATATATATTCCTCGGGGTATTTACAAACGCGGCGAGTCAACCCTCCTAACTCAATCGAAGGAAAATGGGCTGCACTCCTTATAAAGACTACGCGAAAAAGCTACTCCAAGCGAGCTGGAAGCATCTATGATACCATATATTTATCCTACCGGATGTACCTACTTATATGCGCATACAATACCTATGTATATTCCACAATCTAAAGTCAGCTGACTATACATACCCCGTACACTATTCAGGGCGGCCGTTTGGTATCCGTGAGGAAGATGTCTATGTAACCGAGAATCTGTATGACGAACGCGCCAAACGCATTGAGAAAACAAATCTCAAAACACTGCCGTCTGTACTAAGTGCGAACGGATGAGCAACTGCTGGCCACACTCTGCTTTGTGCCACTGCCAGAGCCACTCGCAAGTGTTCCCAAGGTATCGTTGCTGTGTT